TTTCTCCTCTAGTAACCTGCCCACTTCTAAGAAATCATTGATCAATCAAGAATTTTGTGGCTAGCAGTTTTGGGAAAATGTGGTTTTCTGAGGTAGCATGTGGTTTGGGGGTGGCAGGACCCCTGGAATGGGATGGTCTGGAAGCCTAACTTCAGATCTTGCCTGGTCTCCGGTATGAGGTGTGATCTCTGACAGTGTGGTCCTCAGGATCTTCAGGAGACCCCTGAGTTTCTGAGAGGGCAAATGTATTGTACCTCTACCAGGCAGTCCTAGGACCTGCAGTGAGGGCGCATGGATGGAAGACTCCCATGAGTTTTTACTTTTTTTCCCTAACTACCTAGTGTATGTGAATGGTATGTATAATATATACTAGAAGTTTTTTAAGGTTAAGGAATATTTATGCTTTATTTGGTTGAAAGGTAGAGTTTAAAAATGAAAACTTTTTCACCATCACATCAGATAAAAGGATACCAAATATTCATAGCAAGATTAAGTATTTGTTTACATAAGGTATTTGTTGTTTGACTGACTTTGTCTAATGTCTCTGGGTTATTTATATGCCTGGAGAACTTTGTATTCATCCTTGTATTCTTGAAGTTAAGATACAGAGTTAGGGAAAATGGACTTTCTTTTGTATCATCTTTTTGAAAGAGTATCAGAATTTCTTTCATCTTTCAACTGGAAATACTGATGTTTAAAGACATTAGCTAAGAGGTCCTACAGCAGATCAGTAACAGGGCTGGAAAGAGGATAATTTGTTTGCTAGCTCCCAAGTGAATGCTACGCTTTAACTTGTTCATTGACTTTGAAGGTGGCTTAGTTTTCTTGGAGCAGAGTTTAGTTTTTCAGAACAGGATTTAAATCAGTAACATAGGTTAAACATAGGAGAATGTGAGCAATTCCGTTCGTCCTTGTGTCCGTAAGAGCGTGTGTGACAGTTACTGGGCACTGTTTGCTTGGACTTCTTTGTGCGTGTGTGCTTCTAAGGAACGTCTGTCAATAAATCATTTTGTTCTGTTTAGTCAGTATTTGGTTTTCCAGAGTAGTTGTTTGTGTCCATTAAATTGACTCAGCAAGTTAAGCAGATTTTACAGGTTAAATTTCAAATAGCAAGTCAGCTAATTCATTAAGAAGCTTAAGTGACTGCTGTCCTGTAAGTCTAGATTCACACAGTCTTTAAAATCCACTTGGAATATTTGCTTAAACATAAGTAATATCAGTGCTCTTCTAAGTCCTACAATAGAGAATGAAGGGGAAAAAAATTGGACGAGAGGGTCCTTAATTACAAGTGATACTGATGTCTTTTTTAAAAACACCTTCTGGAGTGTTTTAGTTTTACATCTCCATTTTTATCAACTTTTTACCTCATGAAATTTTAAACCCATGTAGCAGTAGCAAAAAAGAGCATTACAAGTACCTGTATGTCCTTTACCTAGAGTCACCACGTATGCATGCATGCATTTTCTACACACACACACACACACACACACTCTGTCTCACTCTCTCCTGAACTATTTCAGAATTATAGCTGTGTCATGTTATCAGTCTTAAAAGGCATTTTCCTGTGTATCTGCAATACCATCGTCACACCTGGGGAATTCAGTGCTGATATAACCACTGTTACTAAAATGCAATCTATATTAAAATTTCACCAGTTGTCTTGATAATGTTTTAGCTAGATTTAGGAAAACATTGATTAGGGTCCAGTCAAGAATCACACATTGCCTTTGTTGCCAGGGTTCTTTAAACTCTTTCACTCAGACAGTTTCCTAGCCTCTTTTTGTGACGTTGGTATCAGGACAAATGATAGTGATATTTGAAGAATCTGGGCCAGTGGATTTGAAGAAGTTTCCTCAGGTTGCATTTGTCTGATTATATCCTCTTAACTAGGCTTAAATTAACCACTTCTTGACTGGATTGCTCCAAGGCCTGTTTCCTTCTCAGTGCATCACCTCGTCATCATTGGTGCTGTTAAATTAGGTAACAATTAAGATGTCTCTCAAATCTCAACACATCCTGTTCCCAGCAGCCTGCCGGTTAGTGGTGGTTACAGTAACTTCTTCAGGATAAAAACTGCATTTAAAAAAAAGTTCCCCAATACACACAATTCATTTAGGACCTAATAAAAACAGACACTATATTCATTGGGTTTTTTTGTTTTTCCACACCTATTGGCATGTGAAAATTCCCTGAGCAGGGATCAAACTTGTGCCTCCTACAGTGGAATTGCAGAGTTAACCATGGACCACCAGGGAAGCCCGATATTTTATTGAATAAAGGAATGAAGTTTTTTGCATTTACTCCATTAGTATTTAGCTGGGTAAAAAAAATTATTACTGTCTTCCTAATAAAATATCAGTAGATGAATCAGCTGTGCCCACCAGAGTGCAAGATGCAGTATTTGTTTAAAGATCCATTGTTCTCCTGGCCTCAAAACACAGGTTCATGACAATACACCTGGAAGGGAGCACCTGTCCTTTGTATATTGACTCTAGAGAAGACAGGAGATGTTCTCAGGATTCTCTCTCCATTAACAGCATGGACTTGGGCAGTGGGGCAGTACTTGAAGAGCCAGGACAGATTTCCCAGGGCCTGGAATAGTCTGCATGACCGAGGAGAGGCCGGGACTTGGACGTGAACTTGTCACGGTGGTACCTGAGATGGGTCCACTGGTCTTGAGGAAGAATGGCATTTGTAATTCTTCTCCACCCTGTTCCAGGAAGGGCTGTTTTGGTACCCCAGAATGGCACATAGGGAGTTGTAATTCAATTTTAAGCAAAGATCATAGGAAGTCTCTTGGGCTGACTTCCTGATTAAGTAGTCAAGGATGACAAGTGGCTTGATTTGTCATTTCCAGTTTTAAATAAACCATGTCATGGCCCCTAATTTTGCACTATCCTTCCTGTGTCAGGTTCCTTTTAAATATATTCTTTGTGACATGAATGCCATTGTGGTCATTTGCGCAAAGCTGTGCTTGATGAAGTCCTGGCTCTCCGTTGAATGACTGGTAACCTTTGGTAAGCCTTGTGCTGATTTGATTACCGTGCTGACAGCGCTGTGTGATGACCTGAGGTCTCGGCTGAATGCTGTGTCAACCTCTTGCTTGTTTTGCTTTATTTATTGACTGGGGAAACCACCCATCTGTTTGGGCCATGTTTTTGAAATTTTTGTGTCCTTGTTTTCACCTTACAGCCCATCTCCTAGTTTAAGAACAGGCAGTAATATTTTGTTGCACATTATGTCAAATACAAACTCCTTCGTGAATTGATTCTGTATTACTGATTTCCATCCAGTTTTATTTTTTACAATCCCATAGTTATTGTCCACTTCAGTTAGTTTTTTTTTTTAACTGCGTGCCCTTGAGCATGGTTTTTAATCTTTGTACCTGTTTCATCATCCATAAGGAAGGAATCATAATAGCTCCTACATCACAGGCTTTTTAATGAGAATTAAAGTGAAATGATGTCTTACAGCTTTCCTTTAGGGTGATCCTAGTAAACCACAAACTGTTACACTTTTAAAATTTGTTGTTTTCTGAAGGAAATGGCAACCCACTCCAGTATTCATGCTTGGAAAATCCCATGGACAGAGGAGCCTGGTGGGCTGCACAGTCCATGGAGTCGCAAAGAGTTGGACACAATTGAGCGACTTCACTTTGATCCTCAGAACAGCTTTTTGAAGTAGGAAGACGTGGTGGTGGTAGCACAGGTAGAAATGGTAATAGATAGTATTTATTGAGTCCTTACTGTGTTCCAGGGACTTTATGTTTCAGCTCAGTCCTATAAGAGTCTTATGAGGTTGGCACTATAATTGCCATTTTATAGATGAGGAAATGTAAGCATAGAAAGATTAAATAACTTGCCCAGATTCACGTATCTAATGGAGGATGGAGCTGGATTTAGAATCTAGGCTATACTTCTGGGTACTAGTTTATCCTCAGTTTTTGTTTTGTATGGGGATGCTTAGGGGGGTGGTAATTAACTCATTAAAACTCATGTAAGTGGCAGGGCTTTAATATGAACCCAGATGTGTCTGATTTCAAAACTGTGGTTTTTGAAAATTGAAGTAGAGTTGATTTACAGTGTTTCAGGTATACAGCAAAGTGATTCAGCTATACATACATATATATTCTTTTTCAGATTCTTTTCCATTATAGATTATTACAAGATATAGAATATAGTTCCCTGTGCTATATAGTAGGTCAGAACTGAATTCTTAATTGTTACTAATAAAACTGCTTTCTTCACAGTGCATACTGTTAAGAACAGTATGTACTTTTTGATGTGATACTGTAGAATGGATCAGTGGTCATTTCATCAAGTCACACTGCTGTGCTCATTCATACGTGAAAGTGACCTTTTGCCTTGATTCACTATTGCACAGGGGTCAGGGTTTTGACCACTGTTCTACACGTGAACTCTGCCTGTTGAGTCGACAGTGAAGATAAACACTTTGGGAGTTTTGTGCCTATCTGGCAGGATTCCTGACGTTGCTGGGATTTCCAGGAGTGATGTTAGTGTTAAGGGTCTCATTTGGCTGCCCAAAATGTCGATAGCTGGTGGAAGGCAGATGGTGCTGGAGAGAGGACATGGCTATGGGATGAGGAGGCACTCTGTTTCTCCAGCTAATTCTAGCACCCTCTGTTTATTGCCATCCCCCTACTCCTATGGTTTGGCCCACGGTTTCTTCCTACTACTAACTTCCTCTAGATGTCTGACTTCTCTGAACTTCTGCCTACTTGGACCATGGATAAGTAGAGTATTTTAGTAACCTACCTGATGATGGATTTGTGATATACCTCAGTTTTAAAGAGGAGAATTTGCTCTGAATTTGTGCATCGCCAGCTAAACCAGTGAGATTTCGGACATTTCTCAATTTGGGGTTGTAGTCCCCAGGTTTCTTAACTGGACTACTGAATCTTAACAGAGGGATTATTTTATATATTTAATTCCCACAAAAAGAAAAAAAAAATTCCCACAGAGGGACATGAACCCTGACTGATGACAGTTTACTTTTTTTGCAGGAAGGATGCCAATGCCGCGCTGCTCAGTAACTATGAGGTAAATTGCTTTAGACTGTTGTGTTTTCCTCTCTAATTGTTTGCCCTCAGCTTCTGAAGGCTCTTCAATTAGTTTTGGTTAGAAATGGCGGAATTCATTGGGATTTGCCATTTAAAATAAGAGAGGTGGCACCATCTAGTGGACTTTGGAATACTCTTAGCTTGGTAAATCACACACAATAATTCAGGAAAGCTGAGAAGGTTTTAAGTTCATGTAGGCAACCATCTCTAAATGTCAGAGATTTTAAATCTTCATTTGGCATGCCTTCATAGGATGGAAACATCTATTTTGGAACTGTGTCTGTTTGTAAAAATTTTCCATTAAAAAATGTATGCCTTTTCCAAATTAACACTCTTTACCTGTAAAATGCTCTTGCAAGTTATTTGATCCTCATAATGGTCTCATAGGTATTACTACCTTCATTTTGGAAGTGAGAGTTTAGTTGACTCACCATTATGAGTAATTAGTAGGAACTAACAGATTTGGAATTTGGGGGCTTGAGGGTTGGGTTGCTGAGGAAAGAAAGGAAGGAAGGAAGAAGGTTGATCAGGGGAGATAAAACATTCTTTCTGCCTGCTTTCTATTGTACCTGGGTAATAGCAAAACCATCTGATAGGTTAACTCTGGGTACAGAAAGAACAATTCATATATTCGTCAGTTTTTTTTTATGTCAAGGTCTAAACTCAGGAAGACTTAGAGGAGATTTAAGTCTTTATTGTGTGATATATGTAGAAGGTAGTAGAATTAACACAGTGGGCCATATTCTTTCCTTCCTAAAGATTCATCTTAAATGGGTTCTACTCATAACAGGAAGAAAATGGTTAAGCCATTGGCTTTTAGAAATCTCCTTGTCCAGTTAGACCTCTGGACAAGGTGTTTAGTGTTTTATCCATTTGGGAACATTGCATTAATGGGGTATCAAGCCACTATTTCTGAAAGGACCGACAGGCAGGGGACGGGTTGCATTGTATCTAGTCATTACTATGTCTGTGATACTATGCTTCTCACAATTTTATGGTATAATCTCTAAAATAGAGAGATTTCCTCTCCTGACCCTTCTTAGCACTGATACACATGTGTTTCTTCCTTGTGGGAGAAGTTTACTTTTAAAGTTATATAGCATTTCTACCCACCCACCCCCCCCCTTTTTTTTTTGGTAAACCACTTTTATCACTTGCCTCATAATTTTTCTTTTCCAGAAATAAAATAGATTTTCATGCTGGAGAAGAAGCAAGATCCTTTTTTTTTAAAAAAAAATGCTTTAGGAAAAAATTTTTAATTCAGTTACAATCAAATACATTATATTAGTTTCAGGCATACAACATAATGATTTGATATTTGTGTATGTTGCAAAATGATTTCCACAATAAGTAGTTAATTAACATCATAGTTATATAATTCATTTTTCTTGTGATGAGAACTTTTTTTCCCCCCCATTTATTTTTATTAGTTGGAGGCTAATTACAATATTGTAGTGGTTTTTGCCATACATTGACATGAATCAGCCATGGATTTACATGTGTTCCCTATCCCGATCCCCGCTCCCACCTCCCTCTCCACTCGATCCCTCTGGGTCTTCCCAGTGCACCAGCCCCGAGCACTTGTCTCATGCATCCAACCTGGGCTGGTGATCTGTTTCACCCTAGATAATATACATGCTTCGATGCTGTTCTGTCAAAACATCCCACCCTCGCCTTCTCCCACAGAGTCCAAAAGTCTGTAGTGATGAGAACGTTTTAAGATTTACTCTTAGCAACTTTCAAATATGCAGTAGAGTAGTAACTGGAGTTGCCATGCTGTACATTATACCCCCATGGTTTGTTTATTTTATAATTGGAAGTTTGTAACTTCTGACCACTTTCATCTATTTTGTCCCCCTCCCTGCCGTCTCTGGCATCCATCTGTTCTTTGTGTCTTTGAGCTTGATTTTTGGTTTTGTGTTGTTGTTTTAAAGATTCCACATGTAAGTGAGATCATAGAGTATTTATCTTTCTCTGCTTTATTTCACTTAGCATAATGCCCTCAAATTCCATTCATGTTGCAGTTGGCAAGATTCCATTTTTTATGACTGAATAATATTCCTCTGTTGGTATGTATGTGTGCATGTATCTATTTATATACACCCCCCCACACACATATATATGCCACATTTTCCATTTCCTTATCCATTCATCTGTAAATGGGCACTTTAGGTTATTTCCTTACCTTGGATTTTATAAATAATGCTTCATATATCCTTTCAAATTAGTATTTTTGTTTTCTTTGGGTAGTTATCCAGAAGTGGAATTGCTGAATCACACGGTAGTTGTGTTTTTAATTTTTTGATAATCCTTCACTGTTTTCCATAGTGGCTGCACCAGTTAACATTCCCAGCCATCATATGCAATGGCTTCCTTTTCTTCATATCCTCACCAATACTTATTTCTTGACTTTTTGATAATAGCCATTGTAACAGGTGTGAGGTGATAATCTCATTGTGGTTTTGATTTGCATTTCCCTGATGATTAGTGATGTTGAATGAACATCTTTTTGTGTACCTATTGATCATCTGTATGTATTCTTTGGGAAAATCCCCATTTTTAAATTGGATTATTTATCTTTTTGCTCTTGAGTTGTATGAATTTACATATTTTGAATATTAACCCCTTATCAGCTACATAACTTGCAGAAATTTTCTCCCATTCAGTAGCCTGCATTTTGCTGATGATTTCCTTCGCTGCACAACAGCTTTTTAGTTTCATGTAGTGCCACTTGTTTATTGTTGCCTTTGTTGCCTTACCTTTTGGTGTTGAATCCCAAAATTCATTGCCAAGACCAGTGTCAAGGCACGTGCTGCCTGTGTTTTCTCTGGGAGTTTTGTGGTTTCAGATCTTCCATCAAGTCTTTAATCCATTTTGAGTTAATTTTTGTGCATGGTATATGTAGTGATCTAGTTCCATTCTTTTCCGTATGGCTGTCCAGTTTTCCCAACACCATTTACTGAGACTATCCTTTCCCCATTGTATATTCTTGGCTCTTTTTTCATAAATTAATTAACTGTAAATGTGTGGATTTATATCTGGACTCTATTCTGTTCCATTGATCTCTGTATTTCTTTTAGGTGAGTACTGTACTGATTTGATTACTATAGTTATGTAATATAGTTTGAAATCGGGGAGTGTGATGCCTCTAGCATTGTTGTTCTTTTCCAAGATGGCTTTGACTATTCTGGGTCTTTTGTGGTCCATACAAATTTTAGGGTTGTTCTATTTCTGTGAAATGTGCAATTGGAATTTTGATAGGAATTACACTGAATCTGCTGAAGCTGAAACTCCAGTACTTGGACCCCTCATGTGAAGAGTTGACTCATTGGAAAGGACCGTGATGCTGGGAGGGATTGGGGGCAGGAGAAGAAGGGGACGACAGAGGATGAGATGGTTGGATAGCATCACTGACTTGATGGACATGGGTTTGAGTAAACTCCAGGAGTTGGTGATGGACAGGGAGGCCTGGCGTACTGCGATTCATGGGGTCTCAGAGTCGGATACGACTGAGTGACTGAACTGAACTGAACTGACACTGAATCTGGTTTGCTTTGGTTAGTACAAAGACTTTAACAATATTCTTCTAATCCACGAGCATTTATTTGTGTCTTGACTTTTTCTTTCATCAGTGTCTTATAGTTTGCACTGGACAGGTCTTTTGCCCCATTGGTTAAATTTTTTCCAAGGAGCTTTGTCTTTTTTGTTGCAATTATAATGATTAGAATTGTTTTTTTTTAATTAGTGTATAGAAACACAGCAGATTTCTGTATGTTGGCCTTGTATCTTGCAACTTTACTGAATTCACTTCTTAGTTCTAACAGTTTTTTGGTGGAGTCTTTAGGAGTTTCTATAAATAATACCATGTAATGTACAAATAATGACAGTTTTATTTCCTCTTTACATCCCTTTGGATGCCTTTTATTTCTTATCTTGACTGATTGCCCTGTCTAGGTCTTCCAGTACTAAGTTGAATAAAAGGGGCAAGAGTGGGCATCCTTGTTTTATTCCTGATCTTAGAGGAGAAGCTTTTAGCTTTGCACTGTTGTGTACAATGTTAGCTCTGGGCTTGTCATGTACAGCCTTTACTGTGTTGAGGTACGTTCTCACTCTGCCTGCCTTGTTTAGAGTTTTATGGTTTATATTGATAGGAAACACTTGAAATAGTTTTTGTAAACAATTGAATTTATTCTGTTTGACTTAGATAAAAGAACATCTTTAAAAAGTCAAATGCTTTTCAGATTCATTTGCTTTAATGCAAGAGTTTGGGGGAGGGTTTATGAGAAGAAAGAGATGTTCTATTTATCCTTCAAGATCATTGACCTTGGAATAGATACATTTCTCAAATTTATTTATGAAAATTTTTTGTATTTCTCTTCCTAGGTGTTCCAGTTACTAACTGATTTGAAAGAGCAGCGTAAAGAAAGTGGAAAGAATAAACATAGTTCTGGGCAACAGAACTTGAATACTATCACATATGAAGTAAGTCTACGTTTCCAGAGGGTCTATCCAAACTACTATTGAAGGGGGTTGGTTTATCTTGCTGCTGACTGGCCACCGAATCATGACTATCCATTATCTGATTTGAGTAGTTTTACTGTAACTCAGTTTTTATTCTGTTTATAGAAGTGGAAAGAGTTTGGGCAATTGTTGGCCAAGTTGTTGGGCAAGTGTTGGCCAACTGCAAAGTTTAGAAGAGGGAATAATCAAAAACCTGCCCGCCCTTCTAATATCAATTGCAAGTCAGAGCGCCCCAAGAGAACCCTCAGGTTCAATAATTCACTGAAAGTACTCATAGAACTTGCTAAAAGCTATTATATTCACAGGTATAGGTTATCACAAGGAAAAGATACAGATTAAAGTTGGCCTAGGGACAGAGCAGTTGGGGCAGGTGCCAGGAGAAATATCATAGGCAGAGCTTTCATCGTTCTCTAATGTGGAGTTAGAACATGCTTCTCTCGAAGTCGGCGTGTGTTAATACACTCAGACCATTTTCAACCAGGGAAGCTCCACCAAGTTTTGGTGTCCAGTTTTTACTGGGACTCCATTACCTAGGCACGACTGAGTGACTGATTGCCTGTGTAGTTCTTGTCAGCCTCCAGGTCGGCTGATACTGCTGACCCAAAGCCCCTGCTCTCAGTCTTCTTACTAAGACTAGGCAGTAGGATGTCAGGCTCCCAGACAAAGATACTCCTATTAGGTGTAATGTTCCAGGCGTATGAAGACTACCTCCTGGAAGCAGAGGGCAAAGTCCAGATCATCTGTTTTGGCAGAGACAAATTCTTTATTACAGCGGAAGTGATACTTTTTTATGGTAAAAGACTTAGAAAGTCCCAAAATGTATAAGGAAAATGTCAAAAGTAATTTGTAATCTCAATATCTAATTGATAGTTGCATTCTCTCCCATTCTTATGCTTTGTTCTTAAAAAAGGGCATTTAAGCTGTTACATGTTTGATTTTGTATCTGTCATTTTAATATATTCTTTGTTATTTATTTGCTTTCAGTTTTCATTTTGTTTTATAAAGATTTGGATCTGTCTTTTAATTTATCTTTTCAAAGACATTAAAAAACTTGCCTTAAGTCATCATAATCTCTTTTAAGGAAAATAAGGGATTTAACACTTTTGTCACCATTCCCATCTGATTTTGTTCATTTAATTATGTGTTTAGAATGCTACAGTTAAATTTATCATGTTCTTTTACTTTATTTAGTTCATCTATAGTTCATTCAGAGCTGTTTGTCTTATGCTTGCTTTTTCCTTTTTTTCCATAGACATTAAAATACATATCAAAAACACCATGCAGGCACCAGAGTCCTGAGATTGTGAGAGAATTTCTGACAGCAATGAAAAACCACAAGTTGACCAAGTAAGTAAAAATAATCTTAAGTGGGAAAAGACTGACATATAATGAAAATGATAGCTTGCAAAAGTCATCCTTTGCAACTGTGTATTTATATTTAGTTGGGTTTTGAATTATAATCAATATGCAGTGCTCTTTTACAGTAGGATCCTAGGATTATATATAAGACAACTGAGACTTACACCCTGGGATCCTTCTAGAGCCAGAAATAGAACACAGTGGGCTTTTTAATCTCAAAAAATCTCCTCCAAATCTGTCCCTTAACCTCTTCTCAACATTCAGACTAAATTAGTTGAAAAATGGGATTTACAAATTACAAGGTTTTGATCAAGTTGGTAAATTAAGTCATTGGACATTTGTGTTTGTGGGGCAAAAATGGCTTGATAATATTCTGTCTGCTCTTCTTGTGTCCAGTTACTTTCTTGATGACTTTCCTGAATAAGTTAAGTTTGTAGAAATTAAAAGCATCATTAAGAAGTAGAGCAAGAGTTTCCATGAGAAAAAACTAGCCCTAGTCTTTTAGAATTAATAACACAGCTGATAAATCCAAAAAAGGCATTTGTCATTCATTCAGAATAATCAGAAATTTTCTTTTGGAGGAAACATTTGGTATTGTTTCAGGCACACAGCTGATGCATTGTCAGTAAACTAGTGCCCTTCTCCCTTGCTTCTCTTCTCTATGAAGACAAATGTTTTTCAAATGTGTGCCTGTATGTGTTTATGTATGTTTATTTATAGTTTTACTTTTGTGATAAACATAGCATAAAATGTACCATTTCAACCACTTTTAAGTCTAAAGTTCATTTATATTAAGTATAATATTCACACTGTTGTGCAGTCAACATCCAGAACTTTTTAATCTTGTAAAACAAACTGTACCAATTAAACAACTCCCCGTTTCCTACTTAACCTAGCCCCTGACACCACCGTTCTGTTTGTATGAATTTGACTACTCTTAATACCTCATATAAATAGAATCATATAGTGTATGTCTTTTTACAAAATCTGAATATTTTTTAATATTGTGGTATTTTTATTTTAACCATTTTTAAAAAGATATTTGTTTGTTTATTTTTGGCTGTGCTGGGTCTTTGTGGCTGTGCACAGGCGTTTTTCGAGTTGCTCTGAGCAGGGCCTACTTTCATGTTGTGTGTGGGCTTCTCATTGCGGTGGCTTCTCTTGTTGCTCTAGGTGCGTGGGCTCAGTAATTGTGACACATGTGCTTAGTTGCCCTGAGACATGTGGGATCTTTCTGCTTCATGGATCAAACCCATGTCCTCTGCATTGGCACGTGGATTCTTAACCACTGGACCAGCAGGGAAGACCTATTTTTAACCATTTACAAGTGTGCAGTTTAGTGGCATTAGATAGAATCAGTCGTACAACCATCTCTGCCATCCATTCAAAGGATGGTTTTTCATCATGCAGAACTAAAACTGTATACCCATTAAACAGTGACTCCCCATCCTCCCTTCTCCCTCTGGTAACCACCAGTCTGCTTTGTATCTCTGGCTACTTTAAGTGCTTCATAGGAGAATTATACAGTATTGTTCTTTTGTGACTGGCTTATTTCATTTATAACGTCTTCAGGGTTCATTAATGTTGTAGTGTGTGTCAGGTTTCCTTCCTTTTGAAGGCTGCATACTCTTCCATCTTATGTATATATGACATTTTGTTTATTCATTTATCCATTAGTGTATATATTTGGGTGGTGTCTGCCTTTTGGCTGTTAGGCATAATGGTACTGCTGTGAACACAAGTGTACAAATACCTCTTGGAGATTCAGCATCCAGCTCTTTGGAGTATATACCCAGAAGCCAAATTGCTAGATCTTAGGTAATTCTATTTTTCATTTTTTGAGAAACTACCATACTGTTTTCCATAGTGGCTGTTTCATTTTACATTCCCACCGGCAATGCACAGGGTTCTTATTTCTTCACACCCTCACCAACACTATTGGGTAGGCCAAAAAGTTAGTTCCAGTTTTTTGCAAGATGTTATGGGAGACCCAGAGCAAACTTTTTGGCCAACCCAATACATATTTTAAAGAACGTTAAGAGGACAAAAATAGTCTTTCTTGTTTACCTAGAATTTTACTATTTCTTTTGCTCATCATTCATTCCTGTTCATGTTTCCTTTTTAGCATTTACTTCAACCTAAAGAGCTTCTATTCGCACTTCGCTCAGAACAGGCCTGCTGGCTACAATTTTCTTAGTTTTATTTCAAATGGGAATGTTATATATATTCTTTCATTTTGGAAGGATAGTTTCATGGGGTTGAATGATCTTTTCTTCCAGCTCTTGAAAGATGTTAGTTTAAAAAAGAAGTCCTGTGACTGCTTTCAATACTTTTCTTTATATTTGGTCTTTGAATGATTTGATTATGATTTTTTTTTCAAGTTTATCTTTGCTGAACTTCTTGGTTATGTAAATTTTTATTTCCTACCCCAGTTTGTGAAGTTTTGGGCCATTATTTCTTTAAACGTTTTTTTCTGCCCCCCTCTCTTCCTCCTTTCATTCCAGAACTCCAAAGACGCAGCTATTAGAACTCTGATAATTTTTCTGCATATTCCTAAGGCTTTGTTTTTATTGTTGTTTTTTTAAAGACAAAGTAAGTTTTAAACTGAGGTGTGGTTGATGTACAGTGTTGGGTTACTTTCAGGTGTATTGATTCAGTTATCCATATATATATATATATATATATATTCTTTTTAGATTCTTTTTCATTATAGGTTATTGCAAGATATTGAATACAGATCCCTGTGCTGTATAAGAGTTCCTTGTTGTTTATTTTTTTGGCATATAGTGTATGTGTATCTCTTAACCCCAAATTCCTAATTTACCCCTCCCTTCCTTTGGTGATCATAAGTTTGTCTTCTGTGTCTGTGAGTCTTTTTCTGTTTTGTAAATAAGTTTATTTGGGGCCTTTTTTTTTGTTTTAAGATTCCACATGTGATATAATATGTGATATAACATGTGATATAATGTATTTGTCTTTGACTTACTTCACTTAGTGTGATAATCTCTAGGTCCATCCATGTTGTTGTAAATGGTATTATTTCGTTCTTTTTATGGCTGAGTAATATTCCATAGTGTGTGTGTGTGTGTGTGTACACACCATATCTTCGTTAACCATTCATCTCTTGATGGTCACATAGTCCCTTTTGGGACTTCCAAAATGTGTATGTTGTTTCATTTCATGGTGTTCCACCAACCCCTTAGGCTTTATTCACTTCTCTTTAATCCTTTATTCTGTTCAAGTTTACTGATTTTTTGTTTGGCCTGTTCAGATCTGTGTTTGAATCCCTCTAGTCATTTTCATGTTAGTCATTGTGCTTTGCAGCTCCAGAATTTCTTTTTGTTTCTTTCTGTCTCTTTATTGATATTTCCATTTTGTTCATGCATTGTTTTCTTGACTTTCTCCACATCTTTTAATTCTTGAAGCATCTTTAATGTTTTATTTATTTTTGAGAAGGTTGTTTTAAAGCCTTTGTCTGGTAGACTTTCAGGTTTTTTCAGAGACATTTTCTGTTAATTTGTTTATGTATTTGCATGGGCTATACTTATCTGTTTCTTTGTTTACCTTGTGAGTTCTTTGTTGAAAACTGGATATTTGATCTAATAAAATCGTAGCTCAAAGTCAGATTTTCTTCCTTTCCCTAGACTTTCTGACTTTTGTTTAGTGTTTACTGTTTTTGTATTGTAGTGGGCTGTTTCTGTGCTGAGAATCAGCTTGAGGTATAAACTCAAGGTCTTCTCAGGTCTTCTCTGAGTGTGCCTCTTTCCCTAGGCATGCACAGCCTCTCTCTAATTTTCCCTACATATGAGCTTTAGGGGAAAAGAAAAAAAAAAGGTGGAGGGGGGAATGAACACCGGATTTGTAATCTCCTTCTTGACCCTTTAGTGTCTGCTTTTCATTTAAGGTTGTTTCCCGAGACACGTGAACATGCCCGGGTTCTAACAGATATCCTTGCAAAAGCTCCAGCCGGTGTTGTTCTGAAAACAACCAGTAGAGGGGGCTGCAGGCTCCTTTCACTGTAGCTGGGTCTGGCTCCTCTGGAAGCAGGCAAACTATTTGCAGCCCATTGGAATTCATCTGGCCTCAGTGCCTTATGACTCAGGGGGCTGCTTGCCACGTACTATCAAGACCTGGATCACTTGTGCTAGCCAGTGCATTTTAAGACAGGAATCACGTGGGTAGCAGAAAGTGCTGAAATGCTCTTTAATTCTTTTTTCTGAATATCCCCTGCTAGAGTATTTCTCTTATCCTTTTCTCAGGAAGAGGAGATTCAAGATAGTAGCCCCTCAGTGACCCTGTTCTAGTAATACAAACTGGAGCTCCATTAATTTGCTTAAAAACCTCCACTGCTAAAGTTTGAGGGTTTGATAGAAACCATGTTTTATTTGACTCTGGGTGTCAAAGTCCAAGAGTAATCTGGAGGCAGCAAAGCTCAAAGTAGATAGATGGGTGCAGGTTTCACTAACATCTGGAATGTGGTTACTCTATCTGCTTAGAGAGCCTGGAATCTCTCCCCTTGTCTCCCCACTGTCCCAACAGTTCCTCTCTGGAACATCTGCAAGTCAGTGCTACTCTAGCTCTTTGTTTTTCAACTCATATTTATTTCATGCCAGGTTTGTCTTAGTCGTTAGCTATTCAAAGATGAATAGCTACAGTGTAAGTGCTGTGGCAGTTGGGACATAGCAGAGAGACACTGAAGTGTCAGAATTTGAGTGTATCATTTTGCCTGTGGGAGGTGACACTGGGTTTTCATTTAAGGTAATAGTCAGCTAGATATAAGTGAGCACATCCTTTCTAAGCAGAGGGAACATGATATGCTAGGGCCTGGAATCAGGAAGTAGTTCCTATGTAATGTTTGCAGTTTCATTTAATTGGAATATGAATGCATAGGGGACATGAAGGCATCTGAACCTAGAGAGACTGACAAGCACCAGATTTCAGTGGGTTCTGAAGGTTGAACTAAAAAAGTTTAAAAACTGTGCGGACAG